CGGTGGAGGCCTCCGTGTTCAACTGTCCCCCTCTTACAATGCTGTGATTGCTAGTATCACTCAGCCCTCTGTGAGTAGTAAACAGCCATCAGTGTGCTAATGATCCATTGTTAGGCTGATGGTCCTTCTTGAACATGTGAGCAGCTGGTTTTGGTTGTCAGCAGCAAAACTGGTTGATCCACTCTGAGAAGGTGCTATTTAAGAGACTGAGCTGAATACAGCTCCTCAGACTGAGGAAGTCTCTCGGATGAGAGATGAAACGTTTCTACATTTTTTTTGTTGATTTGCTTTGTTTTGTTTTTTTTGAATGTCCAGAAGACCAGATTTAACTTTTTTAGAATTTAGTGTTGTGGATTTATCAAAGAAGTTTACGGTCGTACGATGTCAAACAAAGGCGGTAACCTAATCCCATGACTTGTAGTTGTTTTAATCATGCTAAGGGTTAGCAAACATTGCTCGGTGTAAATCTGGATGGTCAAAGAAAACATTTATAAACAGTGGTGAGACTAGGGCTGAGTACCGAACCGAGATTATTTTATGATACCAAACGAAATGCATCGGTCGGTGTATGGATTGAAACATGACTCTTCTTTCGGTGTCAAGTTTCAGTGATTGGCTGTAATGTGACACATGGTTTCAGCACGCAGGCAGGTAAAACACAGACATACGGCAAACAGACATACGTGTTTACACCCAGAGCTGTATAGAGCTGCTGTATAGCCATATGTCTATGGCGCTGGTTACGCACACAGACGGGATTCACGTATGCAGCGTGTGTCAAATGGCTTCAATTTATGAGCGTAAAGTTGCTCCGTGTTTGTCTGCAAGGAGAGAGGAGCGCAGCCTCCTCCTCTCAGCGTTAAAGTCAGCCTGTGGGTGTTAGAGCCTGAACGGCCTGATTCAACATCTCCACGACCGGACTCTGCTTCGCACCGAGGACGGAGCTGTGTCTGGGATTTCAGCTGGTAAGTTTACGTTTGTTAAAGTTACTGCAGCTTAATACGTGCATAGCTGAAAGTTAAACTAGGATCCATGTAACGCTAATAAGCTGTGTAGCTTTATTTTATGGCTATCTAATAGGTAACTAAAATCAAAAGCTAAACTAAACATTGACACTAAAAGATAAAACAGCTTGTAAAAATGTGCTCATCCATCCAGTCAGCTGCTTAAACAGTTCACTAATGTTCACTGAGCAATCACAGCATTGTAAGAGGGGGACAGTTGAACCCGGTGGAGGCCGTGGGGGCACAGGAAGTCACAAACTTTGTTGTTAAAAGTTTGCTGCCTTTTTCTACAGTGGAGGCTGCATGGTGGAGGTACGCAAGCTGTAAAGGATATTGTTGACCAGTTAAACCTTTATCTCTCAGCCTAGATAATGGTTTTTGAGCAATAATAACACAACCATGTTATTGTTGATGTTTCGTGTTTTAATATCAATTAGGGAGATGATCAGAGCCCTAAACCCCAGAGAACCACAGAGAAGATTCAGGCAGAGACACAGAGGTGCAGAAGTCTGCATCATCCCTAACCTCAGTGAATCCAGTGACCTGCTGGTGGGATGTGAGGGACAATATGTCAAACTGACAACCAGGTATCTGTGTGTGCAAGAAGCATCATCCACACCCTCAGAGGGAACATTTTCTACTGCTGGAGACACCATCAGCCAGGAGCAGCTTGTTTGTGTCCACAGAAAACAGACATGTTGATGTTTCTGAAGAAAAACTGTTCAGTGAAAAGGTCCTCAGTGTGTAGCAGTGAACATTAGACACCGACATGTCACTGGTTTGAAACGGTTCTTTTGACCTAGAAATTATTTATTTTTATGTAAGAAATTTGCTTGGAATGGAAAAATACCAAAGTTAAAAAATAAAACTCAGGACTTGTACTGTAATGTGTAACGTAATTTTCTTCTTGTTAAAATTAATATTAATTACAAAATTGGTACAGAAAAAAGAACAGTCTAGAAACCGACACCAAAGTGAAGGTACTGACTGAGGTGCAATACAAATTTTTTTAGAAAGGTACCCAGCCCTACCAAAAGGACAATTCATTTGACGGAAAAATTGCTCGGGCCTAATGAACTGATCGATTACAAAAGGCCTGTCTTTTTCATTTGAAGTGGGCAAAATCTTATATTAAAAGTAAACTAATGGAAATTTCTGCTGTAATTTGATTATTTTAATAAGCCATGTAACTTGCTATGATCCCAGGTTTTGAACAGGCGTGATACTGGTGTGTGACCACAGCATGCACATCTGATGTTGCTCACAGTGGTCCTCGGTGTGCTCAGGGAGCTTGTGTGTTTCAGAGTCAGAGAGTCAGAGTTTCTTTATTGTCATTCGCACCTCATGTGGTACATGTGGTGGAGCGAAATTATGTACACGGGGTCCCAGTTACATCCAACAATAAAAAGTATAAGAAAAACAGTAATAACATCTAAGATATGAACTAAGAAAAACATCAACTAATTATACACTAAGCACTCATAACATAAAACATTGAACATCAGCACAAACATGAACATGAGTCTGTGAGCAGATGTGCACGCATGAACACATCAACATTGAAACAGATCAGCAGCAACATGAAACAGATCAGCAGCAACATGAAACAGATCAGCAGCAACATGATATGGTTTTTCACAATTATTCTGGTTAGAGATTCATGAGTCTAACAGCCTCAGGGTAGAAGCTGTTCCTCAGTCTTGTGGTTCTACACTTAATGCTCCTTAACCTCCTGCCTGAGGGGAGTGGGGCAAAAAGTGTGTGTGCTGAGTGAGTGGGGTCCTTCATGATGCATTTTTTTGTTTGGTTTGTTGTTTTGTGTGTTTACCCAGACACATGAAATATTTGAGGGAACATTGCTTATCGCTAACATACACAAATATGTAAAGTAAATGTTTTTTCTGAATGGTGCCATTAACACGGCTGGTTAAAAATAAAAATACAGTAGCCTACCAGGAAGTCATTGATTGCTGTCTTTAAGCTGTCCTCCTGCTCCCCAGAGCAAAAGCTGCTCTGTGAGCATGTGAGGCTCACATGCTCTGCACATGCAGAATCCCAGTAAAACTAGAATCCCCCTCCCCGTTTGCTCCTCCTCTTCCTGTTTCATTGGTTCAACTGTGACCTTTTCATTAATTTCCTTGGTCAGATTTTGTTTTTACCTTTATTTATACAGGTAGTCTCATTGAATCATGAGGACCCACCCTCAAGAGAAACATGTATTGCGCAGCTTTGTGAGCACCCGGGTGTGACAAAGCTAAAGTTTTTTTGGCAGCAAGAAGCTCGTTAGTCCGTCAAAAAAAAAAAATCCATAAATTAGCAGTGGGGTTCAAAGATTGTGAAAAAAGTAGCAGCTCAAATGAAGGTTTTTATTCAGTGCCCTGAGATGACTTCTGTTGTGACATGGTGCCATATAAATAAACTGAACTGAATTATGGACTGGGAAGTCCAGTAAAATTTTGGGGGTCTGTAAGGGGGCACTGCAGTACCTGGAGAACATGCACACTCCAACTTCCTGGCTGTGAAATGCTAGTTCTAACCACTGCTTCCAGGGCTGCCCCACTGACACAAACAGTTAATGTTAAAGTTTTAGGCAAAGACGTTGCACAATGTGTAATGTGCAGACATACTGGGTGAAAAACATCTGGTCTAGGTCTGTTCAAGGTGAAGCTGTCCAGAGAAACAGTCATCAGAACAACACAGCATCCTACTGAAGCTCAGTGAATTAAATATAATGCGTAGAAAAAGTAAAAAGCATTTATAGAAAAAATTATTTAAGACAGACATCAAAGAAGCCACTTCAACACCAAGGTGAAATCCCATTTCTAAAGAGTAATACTGATCAAACCAAATCAAAACATGCGATGTAAAATAAGTGACTACAGAAATATTGACTCCCTTATAGTACAAGCTGCTGTCCCAGAACTGAGGTTGTGTGCAGAAGTCTAAATCAGGCCCCCACATCTGGACTAGATCTGTCATTTCTAATTCGAGCACCAAGCCTGGCCCCACCCGACCTAAATTCGGCCATGATAATGCGTTGGATGGGAGGGCCAGGTCGGTGTCGGGCTTTTAATTGGGTCCGGATCAGCCACAATCCAATTATATGATAACATGGCCTGCCATACTTCCACCAGCCACACGCGGCCATTTCACCGCAAGCCTTGAAAGAGGTAAAAAGTTCAGTTAAGGCCCTATTTACATGGACACGATGGGGGGAAACAGATTTTTTTCGTATGTTAGAGGAAAAGATCCACGTTGACATGGACGAATTTTGTGTTTACATGCATCCGGAGGAATCCCCCCCCACCCACTGAATCCGCTGTAGTTACCATGCCGGGTCCTTAGTTGGCGCTGTGAATTTTGTACCTTCACCTAATGCGTGCTGCCTCGGCCCGCTCCTTTCTTCCGAGTTAAAAGTTCAGCTAACAACAACTTAACAACAAGTTAAAGCTGGATTCTGGATAAGAGTCGACAGATTTGATGCCAAGCAGGACCGCTTCATCTAACAGCGCCACACCGGTCGCTGAGTGGACCAGAACACAGTCGACGATGTCGGACTTTACTCCGTGATAATCAGTAGCTGATTTACAGCAGGTAAATCAAATGTTCTTAATAATCTTAGTTTGTGTTTACTTTGATCACACAACAACCAACTGAGTTTTTATTTTTCCTGAAAGAAGAAGAAGCTGTCCTTCCACCAGGCGGACCGGTTCTGAACAAGGCTCGGCCCAGGTGCACTGAAGGAGGACGTCGAAGAGAGATGTTGGATGAACTATTTATTTAAAATTCCCCTCAGTTCTTTTATTCAATATTAATATATTATATATATTAATTCTAACCATTTAATGTTTTAAGCTACCTGATGCATGCTCAATAATCCAGGTAGAAAAATCCAAAAAAGTTCAATCTGGTCCTCTGGACATTCAAAATTTTTTTGAATGTCCAGAGGACCAGATTGAACTTTTTTGTGTTTTAAGCTGCATTAATCAAAGGAGTGACAGCCTGAACGAGCCAGATGAACAACGTGGGACCAGAGTCCAGGATGAAAACAAGAGTCCAGTTCATTAATGTAGATTACAGTTAACGTGTTTTTAATAATGTGTTCTGTTTAATTATCAGTGACACACATTACCTGCACACGCCTGTGCACGGTGGCTCTGGATGTTTCTACTCCAGAC